GTAATGTATTATTTTCGTTGAAATAATTTTTTCTGTAGCTTCCGTTGGCCATTAAGGCCCCAGTTGCGGATTTCCCGAAAGACCATTACGGATCGCTTTCCATGATTCTACTCTTTTTTCAGTTTTCATAACGATTACTGAATAAGCATTTTTTTATTAAGGTATCACAATGAAAAATTAAGCTAACTTATTTTTTTCCTATTTAAACGCTTGATCCCTTTTTCAGTCTACCGTTTTTTTTCTAAGTGCCTGCCTATTTCATAGAGATTACTCTGTCGCTACTGTAGACTTTCTTCCATTGGTGTTAAATAATCACGACGAATAAAACGTATTTATTTTTTTTATGACAAACACTTCCATTACTTGTTTCGCACTGATTAGGTAGAATAGTGATAGCGATCACTGATATATCTTTTCGAAACTCTGAGCATATTCGTGCAGCAGAAACACAAAGCAATACCATCATATTTACCAGTTTTGAATAGTGTGAATCTTTTTGTATTTTCCCACTTACCCCAGTACCGAAACATTATTTTTCAATGTGTCTTGGAAAAGTGGAATAAGAGATGTGGGTCATTGGACCCAAACTGCGCGGTGCGTAATTCAATGACGACGCGCTTTGGTGATCCCATCATCTTTTTCATTGTCGTCTAGACGTCTAACTCAGTAGTTCTATCTTAAGATCGAATTGATGTTATATATATATATATATATATATATATATATATAGCATAAATTGCAATTAAATTACTTCTAATTTACATAGTACTAATAGATATCACTTCTGCATTGCATTTTTCGCTATTCTTTTTTTGAATGTATATTTGAGTTCATCATTGCCACATTATCAGCGCTTCGTGCGAGCAATTAGTCACTACTGAGTTTAACGCTCACATCTTTAAATCAAGGCAAACTTTGTTTCATTTCATTGCTTCATGCAACAGGCTCCCGCCATAAAACAAGATGTGTTTACGCCAGGATTTGAACCTAGTCCCTCATGGTTGGTGCTAAATTTGTACCTCGGTCGATTCGCACATTTCCGTTCCTATTCCTATTATATATTAATCAATTTATCGTTGTCCCAAGCGCAATAAGTATACAGACAAAAGCGAAGCGATAATTTTGAAGACGAAACTACAACGGCCCAAATACTTACTTTCGTCATCAACTACAGTTAATTGCAGACTAATTCCGAGATGAGTCAATTGAGTTTACTGATACGTTGTCAAAATGAAATCTTCTGTAAAAAAAAATGGTCTATTCCTTACGATAATGTGGAGAACTTGAAATAAATAGGAGACAAATTTTTCTGCGTCGAATCGTGAAAACGATCGAGTTTTCATCAGTTAAATAGTACTCGTCTTAAACACTGCACAGAAGATGAGTTGTTTATCATTTAAAATTTTGGCTAAATGCGTTCGACATTTGCGCGTCCTTTAGGATTAAAGCTGTTCGAAGCACAGGCTATTGATATAACTTGCTAACTAAATGAATTTTTTTTATTAGAACGTCGACCTGATCATTTCAGATCGCATTTACAGGAAAATACTTAATCAGCAAGCACAATGAGAAACAAATTGGCTACCTAGTAGAGAGGTCCGAGTGAGTAAAATGGCTGAGATATTTTGAAATATTGAAAGGCTGACTACAGGCCTTCATGTGTCTACGTTTGGTATCGCCGTTAGCATATAGATGGCTTAGTCCCAGCCATCGCCAGACGAACCGTCTATCTGTCTATGCCCGAGCTCGAAGCTGCTAGATTACAATCTGTCTTTAAGGTTAGCTGGCAAATACGTTACGCACGGGGGCTATCACGGAGACTAACTTCATGGACCTAAGCAGAGCCAGCCGCCCTGTTTACACAGATCTTAATCTCTTTCCTCATAACACTTTAAAACCTAAATGCTTTATGTAACCAGTCATCTGTTGAGTTGTGTACATTAGTGGTACCATTGGTAAGGCCATTTCATGATGTGAATACAACAAATTTGTCTTTTTCCTCTATTTCATTCGTACTTTTCTCTTCAGGTAGTTTTTAGAGAAAAGTGAATATCTCCTTCCACATCATCATGCTATAGGCAACAACAGCTAGTTTTTTTTTTTTCAATTTTTCCATGTAAAGGCTAGCACAGTTACTCGGTTATTAACCACTGGCGTCAAGATACTATAAAATCTGCCGGATCGCACAACCAGTCATCCTCAATCAAGCCAGCTCACAGCCGGAGGTTATCATTATTAGACAAAAGATAGGAAACGATACCTGTAAGATTCTGCTGTATAAGTAATGCTCGTCTTTGTATTGTTGCTTGTCTACTCCTATTTTTTTTTGCTAATGATATTGCATATTGTCGAAAAAGTACCTACTTGTTGCAGCTATCGTTTTTCTTGGATCACACAACTTTTCTTTTTTTTCCTGTACTCTGACAAAAACGCATTTTTGAACCTTCTTTTTCGTCGGTTAACAAAATAGAAGTGCACCTGCGACGGTGAAGAAAACCGAAATAGGTGCGGAGGATCGATCACCTTCAACCAACCCTTCGACGAAGGTACCTGCTACCTAATCCCATATCTCTGTGCTAGAGTTTTCATCGTATGCGGGAGAAACGTTTCAAAGTATTTTTATAGTTCTGACGTGAAAAAACGGAGGCAAGGTAGATGTCGAAAATGCTGCAATTTCGCCACCTGACATATACGTCTTCGAAAGCTGAAATAAAGGAAAATTCTTTCTGAACAAGCTTCGTAGGGCAAAGAAGCAGCTTCTCAGCGGTTTATTATACTCGAGCGAAAAAATTAGAAAAAGGAGGCTATAAGCATAGACGGTGCAATGTGATGCACTAGCATGAGCAAGGGATTTTTCTATTATCTAGAAACAACACTACATTACGTATTTTTCATTTGCGTTTCCTAATTAAATGCTGTCTATAAAGGTCAATTTTTTGAAACGTAATCTTTTATAACGGAACTGGCTACGCAATACCTTCAACGGTCCTTTCTGTCATTACACGCTAAATAGAACCACTTCTATCAGTACATTATATAGCAGGTTAAGTAAGTTTTTATTCAGTTTGAGAAGATTTCCAAGTAGGTAGTTTTTAGCGAATAAATGTAAAGAAAACACACTTTGTAACACCGGGTTGGTTATGTTATATCTTTTAATTTGCTAGGTTTCCGTCATATCCATAGCTAGAGCAAGATTGACGAAGATTTCACACTCATTTGTGTTAACTTCGCAAAATAGGGTGAGTCGGGGTAAGTTGCCTATTTATCATTTGAGACATTTGCTATAGTTACGTAATTTCATTATTGGGTTTAGATGAAAAGCTACATATTGCGCTAGTCACAGGATGGGGCATCTGAATACGCACTTTTCCGTATCAGTTGTGTCCAAAAATTGTATTTTTCATGAACATTCCAATTGTTCGCACCCTTTAGACGTGCCGCCCCTAACGGCCATATTTACTCAATATAACCATTGTACACCGCAATGACATCTTCGATTTTAGGTCTAGACCATTTATTAGTCATTGTTAAATATGGGTCCTTTGATCCGCGACAGTTACAGTGGGTCGACCTATGTTACCCGATAAAGTATTGCTCGAGTGAGGTATGTACAAAAAATTTTAGTAAAATTAAATTTTGAACTCAAAACAAGCTATAAGTCCCATTAATGCAACGGCTCAAAACGATCAAAAGGTTTACAAGGTACAAAGGGGCATAAGAAATTTCAAATCGACTAACCGCTAATACATCCCAATCGACAATTAATATTGTTATAAATTCTATAGAAAAAATCTGGTGTATCAAACAGAGCCCATTGAGCCATATCGACAAGTTTTTGATCCCTTAAAATTTAAATTCTGTTGAGAATTTTTGAGTTTGCACCTTAGAAATTTTTCTCGGATTTTTAAAAGCCGCATGAGAATTTTAGATAAATTACTATGTTCGTCCCATCGAAAGACTTATCTATTGCTAAAATTTTAAATATGATGCACTGTTTGCCGCCATAGTGGGTTTGTTGCTTTTTTACGAAAAAAAAATTGACTCAAAAAAAAATTGAAAAATTGATAGTGTAGATAATTGGGTATCTGCCATGACAAACAAACGGTGTCTGAATTTGAACGTCTTACCATTTATATTTACTTAGATTTTAGTACACCGTACTGTTTCTACTGACGTAACTAAACCATTATACCTATCAATAATGGTCACATTTGGACCCATACCCTTACTCAACTGTGGTTATTGGGCATAACTATCTTTTTCCATATTCGGTATTTTTTTTGACCATGGCATCAAAATCAACCAAAATAGTCCACGGATTGACCATTTCTGTTGTTCAGAAGGTACCAGAAGAGAGAATCATACGTCTCGCATGAATTACGTTGGACGAACTTATGTCAGCGTAAAAATACTTACTTCTGTAGTCAAACGTTTTACTCTGAATGACCCTTTGAAGATTTTCAAGTCAGAGATAAGCCGAAACCAACGAGCATCGGTGCAGCAATACTCTACGCCGTCATAATTGAGTATTTACATAATTGCAAGGTAAATTAATTGTAACTTGACGTTGGGGTCACATCGAACCCCGATTTTAGTTAAATAATGTAGTCTGATATTTTTTAAGCCAATATCGAAGGGATTAACGATCAACTAATCGATTTGTGTTTTAAGGTATACCCTAGAGGCTAACTTAGCATTTAGTTTGCACTCTAGAAAACACTTTAAAAGCTCTGAATAAAACTGGGAGTTACGAGTTGCATCCTCGAGTGACTTTTCATGATTAGTAAGCGTCGGTACAAAGGACTAGCACATTTGATTTAAGCACAATGAAACTTCATGAAGCATAGTTTCATTGATGTGCTGCCCCCTGCGACGGCGACAAATAATTCATTTCAGAAATCCTATGACAAACGTTGATAAGATAGGTCCCTTCGTTATATACCTCAGTACAATAATATGACGTAAGACGAAAGTGAGAGGCACGAATAGATTTAAGAAAATCGTTTTTTATTTGGAGTGATTTTAGCACACGGCTGTCATATTACGAAAATTCAACATAACAAGCGGACTGATATGGTTTCACACAGAAGTACCATGTGTACAACAAGCAATATTTAGCATATATTTTGGTAATCTAGTGAGCTATTGTTGCCGTGAGCGGGCACTCAAGGGGCTATCCATAAAACTGAATTTCGCAAGACGTGAGGTATCCCAGCAACACAGTCATTTTATTCTTTTTTGCTGACATTTGGCTGAGTTCGTGGCTCGTATAATTCGGTAACATTCATTCGCAGCTTACTATAGCTGCTATTCGTGTAAGTTAGTGTTGAAGGACGCGATCATGCGTGCATCCAAAGTAGCATTATCTAACAACGATACGAACATGAAGTACTACTACTGCTGTAGTAGGATCCTTATTGGGGCCTGCGGCATTCGATTTCGCCATTCATAAACTTATCTCTGAGCGAAAGCCGAGAAATTTTTCCATTTCCGGTTTTCGGTACCTGATCCCAATCGCAGAAATATATTCCACCATGGAGATGCTTATAGGTCGAAGTAAGCTTTGCAACGTTTTCCTTAAGCTTACTGGCTAATGCGCTATTCTCTTGAAAGCCAGCGCGTATAGTAACGAACGCAGTGGGCGCCTCTCCCAGCTCCTCATGTGGAATGCCGACTACGATGGCCTGCTCGACGGCGGGATGTTCCCTAAGGATTTCTTCAAGCTCCCCAGGAGAAAGCGTATCATCCATACAAATAATTATTTGCTTGCAACGATCAACCAAATGAATGCACCTATCGACTGCATCAATATAGCCTAAATCACCGGTGCGCAGCCAGCCGTCCGCCTCGATATTACGAGAGTCCTTTGTTTCGTGCAAATATCCGGTCATGAGTGAGTCGCTCTTCAGCATTAGTTCACCCAAAGTGCCATCGGGCACTTCGTCCCGCGTATTCATATCAACGACCCTAACTACAATGTTGGGAAGGGGCTGCCCGACGCTGCAAGACATGTACTGACCAACGGCGGTGAATGAGACGGCGAAATTCTCAGTCATTCCGTAATTGTTGGAGAATAAGCACGGACTAAAGAAGTCCGACATGAGGTTGGCAAACTTCGGCTGAAGCACTGATCCACAGAACATCATCAGTCTCAGCGACTTCATTTGTTCCTTGTGGTTCGGGAACTTCGGTGCCGTAGCTAGGATAGCTCGGCCAGTAATTTCGAGAATAATTGCAACGGTTATCCTGTTGCGCTCGACGATTTCAGGGAAGTTAAGTTTGATATCAGTTCTTGCAAGTACAACGGTACCGCCAACGTTCAATGTAATCTCGGAGAAAGACACCTCGAATGCGTAAAAAAGTGATGTAGCCACAAGGTAAACATCACCCTCCTTAAAGATCTCAGGCCCTTGGACTATCATTTCCGACTGACCTGTCATACTTTTGACAGGGTGTTTTGCGCCTTTTGGTTTTCCTGTCGTTCCCGACGTGTAGGTAATAATTGCAATATCGGAAGCTGCATTTCCACATTGCGGCGCTGTCCAGGGAGTGCCATTCCGAAGCAGGTCGTCCAGCAACACCGCATTCAGGTGCTCCTTAAATGGGTCTAACTCACTCGGAGTTCCAACAAACACTATTTGAATCCTCTTGAGATCCGAGTACTCTTTAACAGTATCGTGAACGAGTTGTATAGTGTCAACATCACACAAAATAAAATTCACCTCTGAATCGCGCACCTGGTACACGTACTCGCGTGTGGTCATCTGCTGATGAGGTCGACAAAGTACGATAGTAGCATTGGCGAATTTGAGTGCCTGCATTACGCAAAATGCAATTATAGAATCCTTAAGGAAATACTGCACACGGGTTTGAGCGGCGATGCCTCCATGTTGGAGACATCCTGAAATATCTTTGACGTACGTCAACAGCTCGGAGTAGCTTAGTCGCTCCTGTGTAATGTTATCAATTAAAGCAATCCGTTCGGGAAAACGACTCCACAGTCGACCAAAATATTCGTGGAGGGGCTCCGAAGGGATGGTCACATCACTGAAAGCAGACTTGAGTACCATCGTGTGAAACCGACGGGCTTTTGCCTCTTCCGGTTTGAAGGTAGCCAGATGAGGCCCTCTGTAAAAATCGCAATACGATGAAGCCCACCCATATAAGCGACGCTGTACGTCTTCAGTTAGATGGTAGATGGAAAGAGAACTGACACCCTCTTGCTCAACGTAAATGATTGCGTTTACAAATCGGGCGAGCGGGCTTCACTAGCCCGCCACGAATGGTATAAGTCAGTATCCGCAGAACGGCAAGCGGAACTGCCCAGGAAAATACTATTCGGCTTGTTTACCTCAGGTTTTTTAATAAGAAGAGAAACATTTGAAGCTTCGTGGGAAACTTTCCGAGTGGTTAAATTAGACTTATGGATAGAAGAACATCGGTTGTCTTGTAGACCAAACACTAACCTCAGAATAGCAAATCCATATCATAGGTTACATTAAATGACGGTCTAGTCCGAATATGTCTTTGTTGGCTTTAGAATGTGATAAATATATTTCTTACCGAACATGCTTAATTCATTCTTTTTAAGTTCACTAGCCTTTATCTACAATTAGTAAATCAAAAAATAAATGTAAACAAAAAAGAATGAGAAAAGCTTTCTCTTCATCCTTTTCATACATATAAGTATTTATTAAAAATGAAAGCAGTATTTCATATTTCTGATTTCCCTAGTATTGATTGATCGAAATTTCTTTATTAATCCCGAAAATTATATGGAAGTGACTCTGGCTCTTATACAATATATATATACTTCACGAATTTCAAAGATTAATTACCTTTTTAAACTTCTATCTTAATTATTAGTTTAATTCTAAATAAATTGTTAATTATCTCATTAATTAAAAAACAAAAAAAAAAGTAATTAAAACATGTGTATTCATACGTCCATCCAATATTCTGGTGCCCAATAGTCTTAACACATAATCGCCCCAAGTACCTCTTCTATTAAATATAATAAAGTAATGATGGAATTCAACTCTAAAGCTGGTAATATAATCCAAATAATCTCTAAGTTGAAGAAAAGATGGTATTCATCGTCAAAAAAAAAGAACTTTTTAAATCTTCTTCATAAAAAAGAAATGTATACCCTTACGAAATTCAGCGGTTTACTTACCTATCTAAAATATGCAAACCGTTGAATATTTTCCTTATGAAGTTTAATGAGAAATAGCATATCTAAATAGGCCAACAGAGAAAGCCGTGTAATTCAAAACGTGAAGTTATTATTTCTGAACTACTACAGTTCCTATAACGGATTGGTGAATGAAGCATTTAGAACTTTTTGACCTCTGTTGCTGTGTCTAGGAGAGATCTAAGCACGTTGCGTACGTCTGTAAACTTTGCATTTGTTGCAATGATCACGCATGAAAAATGGCAGCAGGACTTCATCTTGGCCTAAATGTCAACCCTATAAATAAGCAGACAAACACATGTCGTCAGTATTTCGAATGCCTTGCTTGTAGTATCTACACAGGTGGTCTCAATTTCCAGTGAAAACACTGGAAATTGAGACGACGCGCTTATTGGGAAATCTCATCCCACACACGCCCTATTGCACGCAAGATTATTATGGCAGGCTAAGAGTATCCGTGTTGGAGATATCATCTAATGAATCCCCAACTTTCTTTTGAAATAGTCTATTGATAGCTGGTTTGCTTTAGGTTCTGTGAAAAGTTGTTCTGCATTGTATACGAATAGCCAATGTCTTTGTTGGCGTTCCTTTTCAACGTCAAAACGCTTACGACGCTGAACTACTACAGCCTAGAATTAAAAACTTGTCAGTCTGAATCTTAATGCGTATCTATATATCTCTATTTACATACATCTGTAATCAGATGATTCATGTGAAACGGACAAGTGTAACTGGCAAGTTCATCACATGAACTTGACCACCTTGCAAAAAAGAAGTAAATTTATTTTAGATAGAACTTTGCTAAGTAATGAATTAGCAATAAAATCAAATAGTAATCAAAAATGACTTACAGAATGCCATACTCTCCCAGCCCATTAAAAGTTGGCCAGTAGATGCATAAAGGAAGTTTTATTTAACGTAACTTGCAACCTGGTGAAAAACTTCCTTTTTAACGTAACATTTGGAACTTGAAGTGAATCGCTCTTCCCACATTACAACGGAAGAAAACAGCCTCATCAGCTAGGTAAAGCTTGATCTCAAATCACAAATCGCGCATTTCTGTGTTATTTATGCCTGATATGTTATGTATAGGACATAAATATGATCATTGTAATGGCCGGTTTTACAGCTGAACTAAGTTGCTAGACGAATTTTTAGATTATATGCCATAATATTTGGATGACGAAAGCGCTGCGGCAATACACGTTATCATTGCGTTGTTATTGTTAGACCATCGGTATTTGTTTTAGCAAATAGAGATAATCTGTTTATGATATATGAGTAATGTATTCGCCCTTCACGACTTCACAAAAAATCTGTACTTCATAAGAAATGTGGTCTCGGTTCCAACATCCACTTTCATTCAGCACGTCTGTAGCTAGAACATTGCTCCATGCCTCTGCTGTGATAGGGAAGTTTGAGTAAATCGCTTTTAATATCCGATGAACGAAAGAATCTTAACACCCGCGAGTACGCTTTGATTTCCTTATACGAAAGTACGCAATCGCTCATAAATAACAAAAGAAAAACACAAACAAATTCGATATAAACTACATAGAACAAACACAGAATTACGATATATCGATTATCGTACTGTACCACTATAACGATCGGCACCCCGCCGCCAGTAACGGTTATCAGACACCGGCGTTTATGCGTACAACTACTACTTAGTAATACTGATCTTATTCGTTGTTATTCAGAAGCCTTTCAGTCTCTCATTAGGAGTCCCCACAAATGCTTCGTTTGGTGGTACCACTGTTACTCTAGCAATACTATCCGATCGTCTAATTGCAAAATCTTCAACGCCTAGTAACGTTGATTTTTGTATCACGCGCCGCGTTATATTTTATTGATATCCTTCCGTTTTTTTCGTTCGCCACCACAAGCACTACTAAGAGCTTTTCGCTTTACTAACAACGATATAATTAATTATCTAATTTCGTATCGTCCTTATCAACTCGATTGGGACAGTCGAGGTAATTTTTCACTGATTTTGGGTAACGTTAGATTGTTGCGTTCGGAGTACCTAACCAATGGCTCCTCCCTTGCCAATCTGACTTACAGAAAGTAAAGCAGATATAGCACGACTTGACACTAACCGATCTGCTCCAACAATACAAGTGAATTAGCGATCCATCCCCATCAATTAAGCCATTCAGATCACTGGGTATTTACACTGAAATTTTGCATCGAAGGGCATTGATTAGAAACATAGCAATGTCGTAAGCATTTCTATTGTCATTACTAAGACGTAAGGTTGCGTATAGATAGCGACGTGAGCTCCTAAACCGACTTTTGTCGTGAACGACGATCCGCCGTTCACTATTTTCTTCTAGGACCGTTCCAGCAGTTCATGATCGTTTATAATTGAGTTGTTTCTACATTTGCCCTAACTGTAGACAGTTTCATTTCGAGCTACTGCACCTGTTGTCGATGAGGCCCGAATCTCTACTTCCTGACTGCGCTTCCGTCTGATCTATCGGCTCCGTAGGCGGAGCGGGGGGCACTTCGCTCAACTGGAACAACCCAAAGGAGCCTTAATTGAAATTATTTACAGTCGTCATGCGACAGACGTGTTAGATTGGGCGACAAGTAAATGGACAGATTTCTACTATAATATATTCTACTTTTAATATAAAGGTACCACTAATTGCATAACACATCGTTATGGGTTATAATAACTGATTTGGCTTTAAAGGATTGACTAACTCGATATTAAGCTTTGATTATACCAGCAAATGTCAATTTATCCGCAACGAAACTATTTACGGGGGGAAGTTGGCCGTGTTGTATCGCACCTTGCCGCCTTCTACGCACTGCTTTAGGCGTTCCTGAATGAAGAGCAAAGGGTCTGAAGGCTTTTCCGGCATCTCATACAGATGAGATAACGCTGAAATATAAGTGTCTAGCACATTACTATACACCGTTAGAACAAACAGAGGAGAAGTCTGCCCCGGAAGGACAGAGGAGAAGTATAATCATGTTGAACTTCGTTGTTCTTTATTCAGTAAAAATGGCTCTTACGGGATCCCATGACGTTTGTCTGATTACATTACGCTGGTTAAGATGAGCTAGTGAAATGATGCGGTTGTAAGTATGTGGAGGTAAGGTTTTATGTGTGATGTAGCAGCGGTCCGAGTAATAATGGACAGCGACGCGATTACATAAGGTAAGCCTGTATAATTTCGTGTTTAATGAGTCAAATATCGCCTGCCCATGTAGCAGACATCAGGGTAGCATGTTGTCATCTTAGAGCAATTTGGCAAATTACCAGGTCTATTCAATACGCATTAGTGATACCCAAAACAATACTTATATTGTTTAGATGCATCAAAACATCGTTAGTCCCGTGATTAACCCACGGACCCAGTAGGTCCGTTTTGTTGTGAGGGGCATCAATATCGTTCTCGTTATATATTCGAATAAATAAATATTCAAAGGAGATAACAACGAGCGCCGTTACTTCTGAGCTATGATTCGTGTCTAAATTCATATGCACGCGAGTTTTTTTAATTACTATGCGTTCATTTATACGCATCGTTACTCATTAGGTTGCCTGAATTACTTGATGTCACCGTGGGCAATCGACAGTGAAATTTAGTCACTCACCGCAGCTTAGCGCCTGTAAGGCACCCCCCTTTTCGAGGTACTTTCGAAATTCTTCCCGTTTTGACTCCATAGTTTAGCAGAACTGGCACAGTATGTGTGTGGGCTATTATTAGAACGTTTGAGAACCGTCACTTCAAATGCACGGCAGAAACTGATCATGAACCGACGTGCAGTCCTAAACAGAGAGCGGTATAGAATTTTTTTTAGTAATCAAACGTTGCATACATTTTTAGAGAACACATAGAGCTTGGAAGCAGATATATATGAAATTTCCCTACATCAGGGACTCGATTGGAACATCATCACATGATAATAACAAACACAGTTGGCGCTAACACCTCATAATAGACACGACATCGGACACTGGAGCTTGAAGGTGCAACTTTTAACTACGTAGACATAGAGACTTCAAAGCAAAAGAACAAAACACAGTCCTTACGAATTGAAACAACAGATCTGTATAAACAATTTTGCTTCAAGAATATAGTTTTCAAGGATATATCGAAATTGTCTGAACTTCGTCTATCTTGAAAATTCAATCGTTTTTACTTTATAAATGACTACATTATTAACGAATATTTTGATCGCGCACTTCATTGACGTCAACGTTATGTTGCGTAAAATCCGTGTTCGAAAAAGCTTCGTGCTTCCGAGATGAAGCCAATGGATGCGCCACATCATGATAAATACCCAAGTACATTTCTATCGTATTTGCCGGATATATCCGTTGCTCAGTTTGCTATTAGTCCACATATGAAGATTACACTGTGTTCATGGGTGATTATCAACAAGCAGAGTAACGTAATCACTTACGGAAAGCGCCTGGCAAAGACAGAGTCACATGGAGCTCCTATGAAATCCTGATTAGACAATTCTGATTGATTGATGACAAAGACACCCAGTTCGTAAGTGATCAAGCACAAATGGCGACAAATTTAAGCCAGTTGAGCAACCTGCTTTACAGGTAACACAACAGAGACACGTGACGTTGAAAAACGTACTCGCTAGCACTGATGCTTGAAGATGAGCCCTGCAGGTAGGGTGCAAGGCGTCGTTCTACCAGCTAGATGCTGCTATTTTCCGTGCTCACATCTTGCACATAGTATCCATAAGGTAAATACATGTGCATTAATGTGTCTGCTAACGTCAAAGGCATGTAGTACAGTTACCCTCGTCTACTTGAATTCTAATACTGTGCAGCAGATATGTTCATCGTGTCTCAGATCTTGTTTACGTAGCCTGTATACGGTAACTGTAACGTATCGCGAACATCTGCCATATTTATTATAATCGAAACGTCACCGCACGTGCGAACAGGTGAGAGATTTTTTTCATTTACATTATTTACCGCTATCGTAGTTTTCTCAAGTATTTAATAAACGACAGGCATAGGTCCTTATTTTTTCGTCGTCTATTCATAGCACTGGCTACATATAGTAATAGTTAGTGGTGTTACATATAGAATTAGAATTGAGGCTTGATCTATACAGTATCATCAATTATTGACCTGGTGCCTGCTTGTCTTTTATTTTCTGAGGGGGCTATATTATCAGAAGTGTCACTCTGTGGCCGTACAAACAGGACAGCATCTTTTATACTGTCCTGTAACTATTTTTTATAGTCACATTCTCCGAATAAATAACGATCCTCCCGTATCTGTAGAAAACAACAGTGCGCAACAAATGAATATCCTTTAACGGGTCGTTAGAATAAGCTGGGTTGCAGTATTTGTTTTTGTACCGAACTCGTTTTGCCCAACATTTTGCGGAAGCAACTGTCAAAGGCAGCCTAAGCTCATCCCATTACTGTTGAATGACTTAAAGAATAATCCTCTGCTTTCGACCGACCAACTGAATTCCGCTAACGCAAACCCCTAAAAACAAGTTCTTCCACTAAAGAGAAGTGGGTCAAAGGTCACGCTACTCTGTCCCACTGCAATGGTTTAACACGTACCCAGCAAAAACTCAGAACTTTCTTATTATCAATAGGTCAGGTACACAAACACACTGAAGTGAACCAATGGAAATACTGGCTATTACGATAAGTGGTCGCTGAATGTTTTGGGGAATGGCGGAAGCTTAACTGGGCCAATCCGGCCCAACCGATCACGAAGCGACGATCGGCACATCGCAATATGAAGCTCGTTTACCATGGTAATATTTTCAAAAGTCGAAGAATCGGTTGCATTGGATCCGGAGAGATTTTAGCGATTACTTTTAATTATGAGGTGATACGATATTACGATTCATGACCTAATACAGGCGTGTCGATATAATATAAAAAAAAAGAAAACTAGTGTCGTATAGTAAACTACACTTATTGGTTCACAATGGAGCACAAACAAATGTTACCGGTTGAGACTGAGCTAGTAATTATACCTTATGAGTGAGTAGTGCGAAGCTTTGCTACATCGAAGTTAAAAGGGCGTAGTACCTATATGTTGATGACGATACCCGTCCATAGTTTGTTTCCTCAAGGACGTACAACTCTCAAGAGGGCTTCGAGCCGGCAGAGTACGAGCCCGTATGCTACCTACGGAAAAGCCCCTGTTGCTGAAAAAATGTAGAATGTAGACTCAAGCACGAACTTAGCCCTGGAATCTATACTAGAGTAAAAATATATCATATGATGCCAGCATTTATTAGATTTTATTTAATTTACTATATTAATGCTAATATAATTTTTAGATCTTTGCTTGAGGTGCAAGTATTTACTTATTCTAACAAGTCTGTGTATCCGCGCTCCAAGTTGTATTTCAGTGACAATATCGAGAATACATAGTGTCTATCCCTCCTTGCCCGTCGGAGTAGTTTTGAGCGTTTTCCCATTGGCGTAGAACGAGTTCCAGCGCCTATTTGACTCATAATGGACTTCTCAAACTATGCTATTACACATGATGTTTTTGATTTTTGATGCTAACTTTCACGGGTAGATATTGATGAATGAATATCCATATATTTAGTCACTAGAACTTGATGACGTTACTTCGTCTTTTTCTGTGTTTGCCCCTTTTATTCGCTTGTGTCATCGTCGAACTTCGACCGGATAATACCGACTTTCATACAGATCACACCACGTCTATTGCATCGTCTATTCATTAGCATTCGTTACGTAGCACTTGACCTTTGGGCCGGTGCACGCGTTCTCCTAGTAGTCTTCTCAATCACCAGGCTACAGTTTCTCTTTTACACAATCAACTTCATACGAACACGCATAAACGCGCACACATCCATTGTTCTTATTATCAGTCATCAGTTGAGTGTGAGCATATTCATCAGTGTTTAAATGTTACCTCGAAGAAATCTTCCTCAATGAGTCCCTACTGCCCAATTTGGCAATGATTCTAGCAAATGAAAATGCTTTACCATGGATGGGAACAATTGCGTTGGTAATGATTACTAGTAATAGAGTTGTACCACGACCTATAGCGGTACGAGACACTGAAAACAAAAAGAAATACACTTAGCAAAACAAGGGAGTACACAGCCCAGCAAGCTGCCACTGCAAGAATTGTTGTTTACTATTCCGTGGTTGGCTAATTATTACGTTGCTGGTACAATACTCCTATAAATTATAGATATGCGTAGAGCAACGAAATGTACAGGCCACCTCACGCAGGCAGGTCTCCATGCGCGCTCTACTGGCCTTCAGCAAGGACCTCTGCAACAGCTATTGTACGCTCAATAAATATCAAATAGCAATGACGAATATAAGTGGATGTATTCTTAATGTACGATAGATTTACCTATCTCGTACGTTGCTCGATAATGGCGATACGAAATCAAGCAAATGTTAGTTTCAGCGTGAACAAAACCCCGAACCCAGCGGGGTTTCGCATTAAAGATACCCTGCTGGTGTTGTCTTAAATGTTATGTTATAAGTGATCAGTTCCGACCGCTAAATCGAGAGCTATCATCGTCGTACTTGAATCAATCCATCGCACTCGCGTACCCGTACGATGGATGGAAATCGGTTTGCTAATTACACTGTTACTAGTCTTCATTAAGGCGCAAATTGTATTGAACCCACACCATTCTCGATATATGACAATAATGCGTGCGCAAGCAAACCAGCTCCATAAGCGACGAATCAATGATGTCCAGATCTTCCTTCTCCTGTCACAACTTGATACATTTTTCGAGCAACAAAATAAATGCGTAGCAATCTGTACGGCGACGCTCTGACAAATGCCCCTTCCTTTGTCGGGCAGAGAAAGAAAACTGCTTTGAAAACCTATACAACACAATAATGAACTGTGAACAAATACCTTACTATGAGAGTCTTCGTACCGTTCGTGACTGGCATGGCAAGCCAAGTAGTTTGACATAATCATACTTACATTGACATGTAAAAACCATAATCATACAGATAAAAAAAAACACTCTAAAACCCTTACCTCGCTGGGTAGGGTAGGCTACCTGGGGTGCTAGCCCATATCACTCTGTACTAATACCTACGGCACTCTCGTTAATTTTCCACCGTACCCTGATAAAATCGGATAGTACAGTCCAAATATCCGCTAAGTTATAATTTACAAAAAAAAAATAGACGCATTGTGTCCAGGCCGCTTCGTAGTTGAAGTTTACTACAGCGTATAGCTCTCTTTCTAAACAGGATCGCTTTTTTCCAACACCTTTTCATAGATTTTCGTTGTAGTTCTCGATTAGTGTTACTTTCTGTTGCAAAGATACTAGTCACGAGCAAGCAGCGTAGCCCAGCTTCAAATTTTTTTTAAAGAATCGCGTTCTGTCTTCTCCAGCTTCTTACCTTATCTTCTTATCATGGTATGATAAGCAAGAACTGCCAACAAAAATCGTAACGTCACAACATCCGAAAAGTCTAATAAATGCTTCAATGTACCATCGTATTTAAACAAAATATAGCTTGCATCATTTTATACAAGTAGAGAGAGTACACTTGATCTATTGATTGGACTATAATAAGAACAGTGAAAAGTAAATTATAGTAGAATATTGTCGTCTGTTGACGTTTTGTTTTTCGAACGTCGTCTTATCATCACATTCGAAAGGAAGAATCACTCCTGCTTTATGAACAAAAGTGGGTCCATACTTACTGAAGATTATGCTATATACACTGAGCATTTACATCGGCCTGGAGTTTTTCCCATGATCCGCTGGCAATCTCTTGCTTTCATATAGTTTTTTGTTTTTTTTTTTGTAGCGTATCTGTTGACTATTGGTATTATGATGGCTCAACTTCCAGCGATATAATACGGCAGAGCGAATACTATCGTCAGAACGGCTTGTTTCGTCCTCATCCCCTCTCACTGTTGGTGCTAACTAGATCTATGTTTGTTTTGCAGTTCGTTGTCTCCATATATTAATGCTCCTCGTTTGAATCCTTCAGTTGTTTTCCGTTGTCCCTGAAAAAACTTTCGCAATTTTCACTTCCTTCGCTATTTCACGATCCTATCCTGTGAAGTTAAATCAAAGCCAGCAGACTGCATAATGTAGAGGAAGAGCTGGAGCCGCTAACTGAACGACTTAGGTTCAGACCGGCCAATACCTACAATGGATTCGCAGGCGACTTCCGATGTCGGGGGTCATAACTTGATTTGATCGAACATTTTAAACTTCATATGAAGTAGTACCACGTGTCACGGATTCATACCCGAGTTGCTATGTTTGAACTTTTCCCGATCTTCCTCGCATTCACGAAGGTATGTGAAGAGACGCTTTAGCTATTTTCAAACATCTTGACACACTTCCTTCATTCGCCTTTCCCACCGGTATGATCCTTTAGCTTCACAAACGTGACATTGTGCCGTCATCTTCTATAGTGTCATCTCGACCATTTAGGAGTGATGGCTCGTAGGTGCTGTAACATCAACGGAAAACAAAGACTACGGTTAGGTTTAATTGTGATCAGGTTAGGAAGGTCAGCGGAGCAGTCAGGGTTTGAATTCAAAGAAAAGAATAGCAGCGAAAAAAAGCTTCAGCAACTTTTAATGGACGTGGTCAATCTATATACGCATACAATATTATCCCTACTGGAGTTTCGCGTCCAAAATGGCTGGCGAAAACTATCATCGTACAAATCTGCTAACTTCAATATTGATTCAAATACCGCTGCACTGGCAGTATCTTGTTAGAACCTACACATAAGAGTGAGCAACAAATGTACATTACACATAGCTAACATGCACACGGATAGATGCTGGATAGGCGTAATGCAAAATAGTGAATAGGGACGGACAACGCCTGCCATGGCGTATGTATAACGAGAGAGATTTTCGAAATAATTAAGGTAGACAATGGATGGATGGGTGGGTGGGTGGGTGGGTGGGTGGGCGAATAATTATAAACGTAGCAATCGAATCCGTCAACAAATATTAAATAAACAACGATTACGAATGAAACAGTAACCTACCGTCATAGTTGAAACGAATGAAAGCCAAACCTCACGTAAAAGAATAATGAAAGCAACGTAAAATCATCAGAAACTGCTTGTCATAGGTAAATTTCACACTCCAGCTAAAAAAAAAAAATATATACGAATAACTTGCTTTAACATATCACTACTATCACTATTAAAAATGATGTACATGTAATGGCTTAAGGTTGTTGATTTGAGCGGGCCATGTACTCGTCCTGTGTACATGTGTACTTAAACAACGTCTTAACGATAAATACTAGAATGTGTTTCACCTTTGAAGCATAGTTAAGAGTGCGGAAACGAGAACAAATTAAAACACGGAAGAACATTTGTGAGCACAACGCAAACTTTAATTAGTACACATTAAAGAAAAAAAAAATATTCAATACCTAAATGCATTTATTCACAGACGGCTATGGTATGTATATGTTTGTCTGTATCGTTATGTATATGTAGATGAGATAAGCCAAGTATGGCAGAATCGTATACCTGTACAAACGATTATGTGCCAATGACCAATTGTTAAACTCAGAGCCATCGTTGCTCATGCACGGTTCGCACACCTTTTACTCTATGGAGCCTTATCGCCGCAGCAGTTCCGCCGCGGCCGTGGCACAATCGTATGTAATACTGACGTGACTTTTTATATACATATACCCTAACTATAGTAGAAACCTCAGTTATTTTAGTTTCAGTAACTTCTTCAGTGCTTTTTTTTATTTCTCTGCATAATTAATTTTTCTTTGTACTTTTACGAAGAACATTCTTCAAAGCAATTGAGTATCAATCGTATGCCAATCTGTGTCAGTGGAACGAAATGAATCCCCGTTCGCGCCCATTGACATGCACAAGCATACAAACAGCCACATACAAGGACGAATGCACACACAGGAACGCGTATGTCTTATTAAATAACGAGGGGCAGAACGGTGAATAACATACTAACCATCAAAGTCAGCCCATTTTATTCCAAAAGTTCGACAGGTACCTGTACAATTTAACGCAATTAAGCAGGACGAACGCGTAAATCCTAATCTCTACCCGTAACCATTTGATTAATCCACGTAACTAAAATAGTATAGATTTGCTAGCCTGTGGATCCCTCTCCTCACTTGTCTTATCCGTCAGCTGCCATCGACTCACCCTACGCTAAGGACAGACGTTTAGTATAAATTTATGTTTTACACGATTTCTAATGTATTGTTCATGTGCGATGAAGCACAGATCAATAAATGAACCCTAAAAGTACATTGGCGACTGTAACATGTTTTGTACAATCATTGTGACACATCATACAAACAGATGCTTTCGCGACCCTTGTCAGAACTAAAGAACAAAGCAAAGCGATCCGCTTCTTGAACCTTGTCATCAATCTTATTTGCAATATATATGTGTGGCTATAAATAAGATTCAATAATGCCATTTCATCAATGTGAGCAGAAGCTCATGTTTGGCACAAAACATATGTAAACATTGAAACGTACGGGCGACCTTCAGCAGTAGAGAATTACTTTAAGTTACCAAAAGTTGTACAAGAATTTAGTCTCGCACCGATCGAATCAGCCAGTTACACCTTGCCTGGTCCGCGTTTGTGTTCTGGTAAATACTGTCTTCCGGTCAAGCGCACCGGATCTGTATTGAGTCGACGAAGTCCCCAACAGACGATTTATGTAGCCCCTCTTGTCGCATATCAACGTTTCTTTCTTTCACCGCTTCTGGTGTAAAAACATTCATAATGCGCATAACTTATCCATATAATCGGACTAGGTACCCTGTTGGTGTTACTCCCACAAGGGGGTGTTAGTTTCGGGTAAGAGGAAATAAGGACAAATGTGTGTACAAGCGACGGGTAATTTGGGCAAATATTAGAGTTTGCTGCTCATCAAGAGCCGAAGTAATGCCTTCGCTGAAATGCTAATCGGAGCATATTGCAAATGTTCTAATTATTATTAGGGGATAGTGGGACATGTGATATGCAGGAGTTCTGTATGAGATTAGTTTCTAGCGCTATCTATTCATCAGCCGCTGGTCGAATGGCTTGGCGAAATAGCCTGGTGACCGATGCCGCTGTTCTGCTTGGGCGAATCGTACCCATCTTCGATGAGTTTGACCGCAACTCCTCCGGCCAATGATGTCGGGGCGCCGTTTGGTTTTGAAGGCGTCACTTCTTTTGCTTCTTCCAACTAGAAATTTCGGCAGAGTAACGAAACAAGAAAAAGTTAATTTGAATAAACGTTGGTAATGACGTAAAATATGCTAGGTATAGTTTGTACCAAATGTATTGGGTACGAGAATTGTGAACTGAGATTCGTCCAGTCCCCTAAAACCTAATTAACTTGACCGTATAGCAGCTCTATAGCAATAAAGACGCGAACGATTCTGATATATTACTGTTATCAAAATCATTACACTCCCCACAAAGTAGGTATGGAAATTCGTTTCTGACCCTCGATCTAAACACGTCACATTGTTTATGTAGCGCAAAAATACTCTACAGAGGTAGGGGCAACAAAAAGTTAGAGAATAACCTATAAACTTACGACTGTGTACTGAAATCGATTAGATGTTCTGTTTCAAATCGTAGAAGTCACTACTTTAAACGCGTTCTATCAAATTATTATTTCGTATATTTGAAGATCGAACTTTTGAGTGAACGTAGGAGAATCTTTTGATTTATGTGAATATGACTTGCAAAAAAAAACACTGCTACAAAGTATTCCACTTCTAATAGTCGAAAGTTTTCAACGGCTTCTGGAGCGTCGAGTCACTGCCATGCCAATCCCGAACGCTAATGAAATTTTTTCATTTGTACCAGAATCCTGAAATCATCTTAATGCTAGACAGGCTTCCGCAAGTAGTGTAGGCAGGCGCTTTCATTGTGGCCGTTAACAGTCGGACGTGTGATGGCGAGTCTGCTAAGTTCCATAACTCATCTCGTTTCTCAGAGCTTTTTTCAGTTGTCTATCTGATGAAAAATTCGACGGACGAGGAGGAAATGAAAGATAGTCCTGCGAGGCAGACTTAACAGAGAGATATCAAAGTTCGCTTTTTCAGATTATCGAAATGACCTATACAACTCACCATAAACCTAACGATGTCTGACATAATATTTAACAAATGTTTAGCTAATGTCGTTCAATATTTTAGTCAAACGAGCTGCGACGTCACCCTCGGTGGAATAACGGGCTCTGATTTATATAGAAAATACTGGGCGCTATTATTTAGCCGAAAAGCGACTATTAAGCGGTTCATGTCGCATGATCTGGTAACTATTTCTCTCTGGTGTAGATTATAGCCAGCGGTAGAAGGTTTTATGCTATTTTCAATTGAAGGTCGGCCCTTTTCAACCTCTGTGTACTGCTGCATACATACCGGACACATGTGAGTTGTCCTTTTACAAGATATAAACAGTATGAACAGTTATGGTCAGAGGCTGCTAAATTTTTTATCGAAAATAATGGACAACGAAAAGTAAGATAGAGAAAATAAAAAAAAAAACAAGGCATACATTTATCTAATGCAGAATTTTTCTGAATCACAGTTCCAGTTGATACGCTTAATTTCGACAAAGAAAAACACAATACAAAAGGGTCCCGTATTTTCGCGGGCGAAAATGTCTACCGACGGTAGCGATTTTATCTCAAGCTACCTAAAAGGTCAAACTTTAAATTAGGAAAGCGATTAAAATCATCGTGAGTGAGGAGTTTCAGCGAGAATAATTGACAAAAACAAATGCATACAACTTACACATATTTTGCACTGACAACTGATCTTTTGAAAATAAGCGCCGTTAAAAAGCCAGAGGAGTGATAATTAGTTGAGAAATGCCAAACGTCTCGCATAGAGAACGATTTTAATGAAATCAGTAAGATCTCTTGTATCTGAGTTAGGTCTCGTAAGAATGCTCAGTTGAGCCGCCAGAGGTCCTCAGAGATGGCTAACTAGAGAACGAATAGCGTTAGAGTCTAGTTTAGGTACACCTCTGAAAGATTTTTGGATGAGGAGGAATGAGACTTTTGATATTACGTTCGAAAGTACGATCAAACCTGCTGCTTTTTTTTTCTCCTTGCTGCGTTTGATCGTTCACGTTGAAAGAAAACGTCTAAACTATCCTATTTTCGACACTAATTATTTTTTCTAATGTTTAGTTGTAAAAAAAAAGTTGTTTCGTGTTCCGTTGCATCAACAGGATGATTTCACCCCATACATAGTAATCTATTAGAACACGTTACTAGATTGCAAGCTACATAGATAGACAATCAACTGATCGTTACGTCAGCTGTGTCTTGTCTCTGTATAACGAATTTGGCGTCATTTCGAACATAAAATCCGAAAGACATTGACCGGCACCCAATCTCGAACATGGACGCTGATAAAACTCAGCAATCGATTGGATCATTCAGCCATTGCCACTAATGCCACCAAGCATATTGTGTCCGTGAGCATCCAAAACCAGCTCTGCGTATCACTTATAGTTCATCGACGCAACATTGGTTTGCCCTCTAATTCTCTGTTTGTTTATAGTTGTTTCCTAAAACCTGTTGCAACATAGATAATGGGAAATTTTAGCTGAAAGCTAGGGAACACTCAATTCACTAGAGTTAAGCGTCACTTGCGAGAAGCCCTGCACGGACTAAAATTTCTCGTTATTGCTCTTGAAGCCACCAGTATGATCAAATTTATATTAAGACTGCAAGATTTTATTAAAATACGGCGAGGATAACGGACACTGCACCTTGAAGTTTCAGATCGTCAAAACTGCCCTGTTTGGGGCCTCCGATGATAGTTTTTTGCTTTCACTGGTACACAGAGAAGAACCTCCAGAACCAGCTAGGAGTTTTACTTTACTTCAATGAGCAGCGAAAGCTACGCATTTAATCTTTAAAGCCCACAGAAACTGCTTGTTTACGCCGCACAGAATCTTCAGAAGCGCTCAATCAATAAAAGAGATGCAGGCAAATCCATCTCCGATAGTGATGAACTTTAGTTTAAGGCCCTAAAAATCAACTTGAAATCGTTGTTTTTTCTTTTTTGTACTCATTATTATGTAATTTTGCGTGTCAAAATGTTTTACCAGCGTTTTTAACGAGCATGTAAAATTATCATCGCAATACAGTTTACTATATAACTTCACAATAAGCAAATAGCTAAATAAATTAAGCAAACTTTTATCATAAAGTGGTATATGTGTTCGTTAACTGAACAGAAGTATCTTTTCTTTTTGGGGGATTTGGTTCCTATTTACCGATAATCACTTACCTTGCCGCTTTCGAGACACTGCTGCAGACGTTCCGCAATGTACGCTAGTGGGTCATTGGGCTTCTCCTGCATCTCGTACAGACGAGATAACGCTGGAAGGCAAAAACAAACACGAGGCGTTATCCGAGTCGCTGCCTTCAATTGTGATATAGATACTAACTTACATGAGAAGCGTAGCAGGGAGCGCCGACTAATATTATAAATGCAAATATCCATTAGTGGTCTTATTAATTACAGTTTTTATAAAGAGTCGGCACAAACGAACAGTTCCAGTTTTAATAGTGTCTGTTAATGTACGTGGACGACAGTGATTTTGTCAAGCTTGCCACGCTATTACTGTTATTGGAATTGTTACCACTGCTATTGTAATATCTACTTGAATAGCGGCGTGCACCTGCGAAGGCACGATAGTCAACCATCATTACCCCCGTTAAACAATGGAAACGCTTCGTCGTCACACCAACTATCGCCATATATAAAGTTAGCGAACGTATATGTGTGTGTAAAGGCCATGTGGCGATCTGTGTACCCGAACGATATCGGCGCCTATTCATAGACGGGAGCCAATTTTAGGTGCTTACCGGCATTTTGCCAACTAAAGCCAGCTGACCGTCAATTGGTAACGTCCTGTCTATTCTACTGACGAATCGATTCGAAAGTGATCTTGCTTCAATTATTTTCAATAGTAATTTCAACAGAAGACCAGCGCATTTACGTAATGCTGAAGTCATATAGTAGACTTGTCTTCGGCTCTGTTGCCCAAAAGACGGTACGATAAGAAAGAGGCATCTAATGAAAAGAAGCCCTTACGCATTCCGGTATAACATCTATCGTATGGCGCATATATAGCCGCGGTGTGATGACAGTAACTGCAAGCCGTAGACTGAACATTTCGTTATCAATTCAAGACTAGGTCTTATGGTCAGGACAGGTATATGGTCCTGTCTATGCAAGAAAATCGATGATCTTTCGGTACGCCGCCACTCGTCTTTTTTAGACGTACTTTTTCCTTCCATAACACATTTTTCGAACTGATGGCTTTGTATCGTCATTAGCTTTCTGCCAAACAACAGAATTAAAAATTAAACTGAGATAAGCCTAAGATAATCTTTTCAACAATCTAACTTAGACAAAATCAAAAATTTAATAGCGGTAAAAGTAATGACTGGCAGGCGGGCATTAATTAGTTACCAGCCTATGAAAAGAACATGTCCTAATTCGACCTTGAGTGGTTTTCATCTTGTGGCTCTGATCAAATATGTCTTCTATTCCCAAAGAAAAAACAATTACTCAACTAAATCTAACCTTCAATGTAGAATCATCGTTTCATACGAAGGCTAAATATACCAATTTATGTCTAACTATATAAACAAGAATTAGCACGCTAATTATAATATATTCTCCGCCCTTCGACAACGGCAAGTCTTTCTTTTGCTATTAATCTTATGGCAAACCGAACTGATTTAAAGAGACAACGGTTGCAAAACATTTTATGTTATTATTCAGACGATAGCGTGTACAAAGCATCACTGATGTAAGTGATGACATAAGTGATGTAAGAACTTTCAATCAACCATGGGTAATCCGACACAAAACTGAAAAGGTCTTCGGTCTGGCCAATCGACGACAGCTATTGGAAAAGCGCGACTCAATTAATTTAAGGAAACCTTATGTCTCCATTTGGACTATATAGGATAGGAGCACAGCAAGATCATTTGCTTCGTCTTATACATGGCTCAAATGCAAAATAGAGATATTATCTTAGTTCCTTATGCAAATAAATAGAACGCACTTTCAAAGTATATCTTTATTCGCTGATATTTTTCTTCTTGAAAAATTACGTCTCAAAAAATCGGTACCTCCAAGAATTTCACCCCTTGTAGGTTGGAAGTAGGTTGCTGTGGGCGATCATTCCAATAAAACATGATTGTGCACGACTTTGTTTTGCACAGTTGCCTGGAGGCACCACAGCGATAGAGCTTTGTGCTTTGAACGTCTTCGGACTTCATAACCCGATCTCATCATCGTTATGATTAAAAATACTTACAACGGCCATCACGGTGGAGCAGTTGGCTAGCAGCGCAAGTGGCGCTCAGCACCAAAGCGTTTCTCCTTGTCAGGAGCCATGAACGTTTGACGACACACAGACGAACGGAAAGAAGGCAGGACAATGAACAACCATAAGAGCGCGTTCATGTGGGAGTGCATTTGCGTGCGGCGTTCCGTTCCTTCAATGAGAACACTAATAGTAACCTAATTAAAGTTGCTATTGAGCGTTGCCAATAACAACTTACAACAGTGGTGGTCATAATTTAAAGCTGATAGTGACAGCAGCAGTGAGACCAGAAGAGCGACCAGCGAAAGCGGTCGAAGGCTGCCGAGTCAGTTCGAGAAATGCCGCAGAGCAATTAAAAGAGCGGAATTGGGGATTCTATATAAAGAACCAAAAACTGTGTTTCTATAAGAAACTTCAAAGTTATGTCTTTAGGTTTATGTCGAACCACAATTCATGAACGCACTTCGGCTTCATATATAGAAACTCAGTTAAAAAATTTATAGCGACCCTTACTTCATGCTGATACCTGGATGATAATAATAATAAAAGTCCACGCCTTCAAACTAATCTATGATTTATCTGTGAATTCCGCTTAAATTTGGTGTAGCTGTTTTCATTTCCGGAATTCAAAACGCAGAACTTATTAAAGATGAACAAGAAGAAAAGCAAATACAGGTTTTTTTTGTATATTGTTTAGTGACTACAAAGAATAATATTTGGCCAAATAGTGTAGCAGGTTCGCATATTTGTTTGCTCCTTGTGCAGTCAACCGGTTGGATTGACCTACTTATTTCGGCGTGCCGATTATCTGGTTCTGTAAAACACACGTAGGACATGATAGGCTTTTCGACAACCGTCTTCTTGTTGGCGGTTGATGAATGTTCCTTCATTGGCTTCCTTATGGTGGCCTGCTTTTGCCCGTGCTTGTCGCTCTGTTCTTTTAGTCAATATATATACGAATACTAACAATTACCACCAGTCACACAGTTGCTACCGTGTCAACTTAAGCCACGCACGAAGATTCCAATTCCCTACAGCGTGCCTCCATCTGCTCAGCAACGAAATAGGGCCAGCGTCTGCTTTGGCGGTTGTACTATTCTTAAGCGCAGAAATGATACAAAACAACAGGACCGCCGTCGCCACCGCTGCCGCTGCTGCTTTTAACAACTGAAACATACAAACATTTTCCAACTGCAGCACAAGCTCATATAGAAAAAGAAGAGCGTGTGTTAACGCGCTACGTATTGGAACGGTGAGTAAAACGTTCGGAAGAACGACTCTGCAATTTAAGGCAATAAACAAAAAAAAAATCGGTTATGATGCGATTTAATGACGATGATGGTGAAGAAGGACAGTTCCGAACCGAGTGTAGGAGCAATGCGCTCACCATAAAGACCGGAAGAACATCCCCGTGGACATTATTACTGGTTTCTTTATCGTCGAATTATATGTGGTCAACAGTGTTTGAATGTGCTGAACTTTCATGTACCAATGAGATAAAACGCAAGGCTGTACACCAGAAAAGCCTATCATGTGCATGATCTCCTATAATTCCCAATATTCGCAATGTTTTAGGGAGCTATACTTAAAAGTCGTCGGACAAGATCTTGTCAAAACAGAGCAGAGCTGCAAACGTTCCAAACTTACAAAAACACGCTATTTGGCGTCATTGGATGGACAGAATGACGAGACACGGTCATCGCGAACCCAAAGTAAGTTACTATAACCATTAAGTTCAAACGACTAGCGCTCCCTCGAAAAACGAAACTCAACAGTTAGCAACGCGACGAAAAACTACAGTATACATACTCTGATGCATTCCCTTCTTTGCCCACCGAAAATGGACCTTTGGACCAACTCAAACGCCGTGCTCATTAGGCTGCTGTTGCATACAGCCCAGGACAACAGCAGTGGCCTGTAGTTATGTAAGCGTGAACCAACGTTTATTGTCACTATTATCGCTCCATGAAGCATTCAAATTCAGTCCCAACTATCCTGCTATTCATAATAGAGCTAATGCATCACGTGATAATTCGGCCTCCAGGCGTAATGCTACATCAGCTGTTCCAATATTGTAGCTGCTAGCGATATTGGCTTGTATTTCATTCAGACGACATAATTATGTACAGCACGTATCTCACACTAGCTACTTGAGGACGATGTATGTTTACTGTTTGGTGATAGGTCTTATGCACAATGCAGATTCTTGCCAGTCTTAATCAAATTCGCTTGTTTCCGTTATATGCTGACATGTTTCTCTGCTAGACTTACGAGTACGTGAGGTAACGTGCGTTCGAAACCCCGACGTACCCAGATTTTCATAAGAATACTTAATGATAGTGCTGAACGGAAAACCTGAGGCATTTGTCCAGTCGACTCGGTTAAACTTCAAGTCTCGCAAGGTCCTTCCATTTCAAATCAGGCCACCAGCTAGATTTTTAAAGTACCGAAGCATCAAGCGACAACGGCACAGTTAAATTTTTACATATAATGCCTCAACAACGAACTAGCACGCAATGAATGAGTTTCTCGTTTATTTGGTTAAAACCACAGCGTCCCGCACATGCTTTCAGCGTCCTAATGGGCCATTTAACGGCTTCGAAAAGCCACAACTTTGCCACTGAAGTTTATAGGTTATCTTATGCTTATCGTCAGGCCATTTGTGAACATGACCGCAGAAGGAAAAATGAGGGAGAAAAAGAGAGTAACTGGTGAGAAGAGCTTGACGACTGTAAAAATAATGAAACAACTTAACTACATGATTCCCTTGACTCGACCAACAGTTTTCTTTCTTTTGGATCTCCTTCTACACCTGACGAGCTCAGGTAAATATTTGGAACGAATATGTCACCTTTTATTAAATTATTATCTTGTTAAAGATGCTTCGAATGCTAGAAAATCCAGCATTAACTGTGCCATACAAATGCCTACAATAATAGGTGAATTGAATCATATATATATAAGCCTTACGTAAAAGCCTTACGTAAAAGTAATGCTTGTTTGTAAAAGGAATCATGTGGTTCCATAGATCTGAAC